GTCTGCTGACACTGTCACTTCATTCTTTCATCCTTTTTCGATCAGAAAGACCCATGTATGAGTCTTGAATGCAAAGCCTTATCGAAGACCTCTATCCAAGCTGTAAGCATTATATCCACATGTCGTTAGCTATGACTTCAACCTTCTCTTGCAAGCAGGGGTTTTCTCAAACAACCGCGACCTAGCTTACCTAGGAGGAATCACTGGGCTTGAAACAGTGCTACGAATGATACTTTTCATTAATCTATTAACTGCAGCTTAATCTGTTGATGATATTGAGTGGGAGAATGTGCGTGTAAAATGAGACGTTTTCATACACTATCAAACCTAGTGTGTTATGACCACAATATCACACAGTGTACGAGCGTGTGGCACTTCTACCAAGAGAAGCCGCTTAGAGTAGTAGGTACGGGGCTCAAATCGTTTGGTGCGGTTATGCGTATTCATTAGATGAATTACCGTCCAGCCTTGTGCACTGTCAGCTAAAGTGTAATTGAGTTGGGAAAAGAATGAAGACGACCGAATTGGGTAATAGCATCAACCCATGAAGTCTGATCCATGTAGTGAATTGGAAGCTTAGCAACCTAGGGTCTGTAAAATATTCATAGTCGACAGTTACAGACTTTAGGCGGTATAGTATAGAATCTATTCCAGTGATGCAGACATATCCACGCCTTAACTTCATCTATATGACAATATCATGCATGCTTATCCCTCCAATTCATTTTGATTTTGCCTCCTAGTATCTTAGTCTGCTGGCAATTTCTTTCCGCATTTCTCTTTCGTCCATTGTATGCACTTCATCTCGATGCGATGATGTGAATTGTGGCAACCTAAACCAGTACGCCGTCACACTACGTTTCTGATATCAAAGTAAAGTGATTCGAAAGGTAGAGCTGTCGTAGCATTTTTCGGCAACTACCAAACAGAAAATGAGGATAATCCTATGGCAAAGTGTGATGTGGACAGGGTTTTTTCGAGCACTTGACCGTTAGTTTGTTTAATTTCACCTCTTGCAACCTACTGCCTACCAGTCCATTGGTTGAACTTTTCAACTGTCTGCTGACCCCATGAAAGTGGTACTGGTGAAAAGCTTGGTGTACAGCACTAGTATCCAACCTTATCGTGACAGTTCACTAGTCAGCTGGGATACCGATGGTGGTTAGACTTAATCTAAACTATCCTAACACAAAGCATGTCGTCAGTCGTTTACAAGGTTTAAAATACCTTTTCTACAACTGAATTGCGTAAAATAACATTTGCAATATGGGTGACTTGCGTAAGTATGCATTTGTAAGCATGTATCATTTCGCCATCCAGTAGTGAAATGGGTATCGACAGTTTAGCAACCAATAACTAGAAGTATTTGAATTTGGATAGACCTCAATTTATCAGCATGAACGTTTCTAACAAAAGACATTATGCTATTTTTAAGTCTCATCCAATGTGCTTTATCAATGCGTATACCGAAGCTTATCAATTTAACCAATGAATCCGATTGTAGATTTTTAGTGTCCAAAGTTAGGCGAATTCTAGTATTTCGTATAACCTTTACTAGACGATAGGAGCGATTTGGTGTTGTTTCCACAGACCTTCTGTTCGGAGTTCTTCTTGCCCAATCATAAGAATACTCGACATTCTCCCTGCATATTCCCCATCAAACAATCATCTGCCAACTACACTTGGAGAAACAGAATAGTCAATCTTATCAAAAATAATAAGAGCCAGTTGAAAAATAGGTATTTCGCGAACACTTGATTTAACGAGGAACAAAAGTATTTTATTTAAAAATTCTCAATCTTGGACGAGCATACGCGCGTAACACCTGAGTTGAACCAGTTACATGACAGAGTGAGCCAGTGCACGGAAATGCAGACAGCGACAAAAATTAGAAAAACGGTAAAGAGTAGTAGTAATAGTAGTATTACTAATAACAGTGTTTTCATTTTATGTGGCTGATACGTACAACTCTCTTGTTTTTTTTAACTTCCGTATGTTGACACCGGATCCGAACTGCATGCCTTTCGTCTTTTTGGCAAGAAGGATTTTTTGTATGCGTACCTGTTAGAATTTTACCTCGAAGTTATTGCTAGATAGACCAATAATAAATGATTGGTCTTTACTAAATCTTGAAGAGATTCACTGTTTAGTTGACTGGATAAAAATGTGACGCTGACTGTAGGCTTCTCTGTTTGCCGAAATGCGTAGTGTGCTTTCAAGCATGATACTTGAACTACTTGTCAGTTGTCAGTGGTTTTAGAATCTAGGCCGAGAAATAGTGGCCGTCGTGTGGACCTCATTTCCTACTATGTCTCCTCCCTTCATCATCATCATCATTATCAACATAGGACCAGGCATTACTGCGTAACGGTCCGAGTTGCCACGCCTCATATCAGCACATCAAGTAAAAAGGTAGTGAGGTGAAGGATGAAGATAAGTGAATGCAGTCAAAAGAAATATAAAGTACGAGAAGAAAGGAAAGAGGAGTGACAAAATAGTGAGATTCGGTATAGCGTTGTTAAGATGAGGATAATGTGTGTATACATCTGCGCCACTGACTTCGGTTCTGAGCCATATCACCTAGGGTCTCCAACCACTGGTTCCTCTTGTCCCGTGGACCCCAACCACCTAGTCTGCATCGTCCTACATGGCTTAAACCAACAGTCAGAGACTTCATACATTGGTGCCATGTTTTAGTCTGGCCACCTCGGGCCTTTTTCCAGCCTGGACCCACCTCAGCCAACATTGTGTGACGAGGCAATCGGTGACTAGGCATACGTAGTACGTGTCCCAACCATCTCAGTCGATGAAGGTTCACAACCTCGTCGACTGACATACCTCTTCTCCCCAAAACTCTACACCTAACTTCTGCATTACTCATGTGGTGACACCACGGAATACGTCCTATACTACGAAGGCAACGGTGATCAAACACCTGAAGCCTTTTTGTATCCTCCACTTTCAATGGTCTCCTCCCTTGCCCACTGCCAACCTATTTATCTCAGGGAATCGAGGTACTGCCTAATAAATCACTCGCAGATCGCAGAACGTGAGCCGGTTGAGGCATGAAATAGCTAGTCTTCATCTAGCAAGACAACATCATCTGCAGATTCCAAGTCAACCAGATGACCTCCAGGGCCTACACCAATCCCTATGAAGTCAAATGTACCTAGTTTCATTATGTCCATAAGTATGTCTATAACGAAGTTAAATAGGAAGTGTAACAGTGGGCACCCACCAGTGGACACCACTAGTTGTCATCGATTCACACCACAACTCTGCATAATCCCTCACACGACTGAGTCAGTTCGAGTAGAGAGGATTGATTAGTGTTGTATATTTGCTGGGTACTCCCTTCAAATTCAGAGACCTCACGGTCGACAGGATCGAATGCCGCCATCTGGTCAAGAAATATGGACAGGTATGCCTGCGCTCCAGGACCTGTCGGAGGGTGAAGATATGATCGACGCGCCCTCATCCAGCTCTGTCTGAAACCTGGTTGGTTATCTCGAGTTGTAGTTAGCAGTAAGATAACTGTGAATGCCAGAATATTGTACACAGTATCGGTCCAACTAATTCGCACATGCTTCCCACAAGAAGACTTCTCTTTTTCCTTATAGACTGGGATGATCAGAGAAGTAGGCCAGTCTGACAGGACTACCTCTGATTCCGAAATCTTTAAAGACTACGTTGGAGGTAATGTGGTTTTGTGTGTGTTTACTTATTGCTGCTCAGATGCAAACTGAAAAGTCCTTCATATGCATGTCTGTTTTCTTGGTTTATGGAATTTCGAATTAAAGTGTATCGATACTAATACATCATCTTCAGATAAATTTTGTTGGGTGAAGATGGATTGAGCCATCGACTTTTACTTCCATCGCTAAAACTACGCTCACATAGATGGAGAACAGAATCCATTGAGAAAACGTACTCCTTTCTCGTCCTCCATTCTGCTACCGTAACCTCATACTATTCATTATTATCTTGGTTCATGAAATAGTTTAGAGTTAGTTCACTGGTGAGTGAATTGATGCTATGCACATGATTCATTATCCATTCTCTGTTGTCCCCCCAATTCGCCAGTGTTACTCTCTTTTCTGCATGTAGAACCGTCATAAGACTTTGGATCACTGCAAAAACCTAGAAGTAAAGTCGTTCGAATTAGGTTGGCATTAAAATATGCGACCGGAAAGTTTCGCCTCCACTGATATACTACTCATAAGCCGTTTGCAATCAACGACGCAATGTGAAGACACAAGTTCGAGTTATCGCAGTTTTTTAGTGAGTTCAGAGATCGAACATCATTTGGTACTGTGCTTCACTAAAATAATCGTCTAACTGCATATGTTGGTAAAAATGTGCAAATGGAGGATTATTTAATGGATGCTGGCAATGAACACTACATTCGATACCTGATACTATCCACAGTCATAGCCGCCAAAAATCCAATCGGGTTGACTGAATCCTCTCTTTTGCTCTCACCATCACTAGTCAACAATGCGCCACCAGGCTTGTCCCCCCTCCATAAACACCAATCGTGAACATCCTCAAGAGTAAACACCACTGATAGTGGCAGCAACCTTACCACCTAACACCGTAACTACCACTCTAGATGGTGTTGCAGTGACGCCTGTGACTCTGCATGAACCTACCATTGTACACAGTCATCAGTATGCAAAGCAGTTCGACTAGACTGTTGCTTTCTGACAATAAACGTCACATTTCAGTGATGTTGATCGTGGTTGCAACCACGACTGGATGAAGCACAATCATGTATCGAGCGACGGTCTTCAATGCCCTGATGGATATCTATGGCACTAAAACTCTGTTCAGACCACAGTCTATAAGTGACAAAATCGTCTAGTCTTTGAGCAGTTGTGAGGACAGGAATTCCAGCTAGCTTCATAGCCTCCAACGTGTAAGTGGTCGATATTCCCTCGCGATTGGTTAGTAAAAGGTAGCACTTCTGTCTCTCATTGGCTGGGAATGTTCTAGTCAAGGCCACAGAAAGTTCTCGTACTTTCTCCCGTAAATATTATTTATTCAGTTGCTCTGCTGACTCCTTCATTCTTCATTTGGCGTTGTCATCTGAGATTCCGTTAGTCGTTATTTTACGATAACAAAACTGTTTGTCTACTGTGACCCACACAAAAATGCCAAACGCAATTGGAATTGATCTTGGTACTACATACTCGTGTGTCGGTGTATTCCAGCATGGTAAGGTGGAGATCATCGCCAATGATCAGGGGAACCGGACGACTCCGAGTTATGTGGCATTCACAGATACTGAGCGTCTGATTGGTGATGCAGCGAAGAACCAGGTGGCTATCAACCCTACGAACACGGTGTTCGACGCGAAGCGACTGATTGGTCGACGATTCGATGACCCATCGGTGCAGAGTGATATGAAACACTGGCCGTTTGAGGTTATTCATGAGGGTGATAAGCCTAAGATTCGTGTTGAGTACAAAGGTGAGCGCAAGACATTTTCCCCGGAGGAGATTTCTTCGATGGTGTTGACGAAGATGAAGGAGGTGGCTGAAGCATACTTGGGTAAGACAGTGACTGATGCAGTGGTGACAGTTCCTGCCTACTTCAATGATAGCCAGCGTCAAGCTACGAAGGATGCCGGTACAATAGCTGGTTTGAATGTGTTGCGAATTATTAATGAGCCTACGGCGGCTGCGATAGCGTATGGTTTAGACAAGAAGGTTGGTGGTGAGCGACATGTGTTGATATTCGATTTAGGTGGTGGTACTTTCGACGTGTCGATCTTGACGATTGAGGACGGTATATTTGAGGTGAAGTCCACTGCTGGTGACACACATTTGGGAGGTGAGGACTTTGACAATCGAATGGTGAATCACTTTGTACAAGAGTTCAAGCGTAAACACAAGAAGGACATCAACGACAATAAGCGTGCATTGCGTCGTTTGAGGACGGCGTGTGAGCGTGCAAAGCGCACATTGAGTTCAAGCACCCAAGCGAACCTGGAGATTGACTCGTTGTATGAAGGTATTGACTTCCATACGACGATCACTCGTGCTCGATTTGAGGAGCTGAATGCAGATTTGTTCCGTGGTACTTTGGAGCCGGTTGAGAAGGCTTTGAGAGACGCTAAGATGGACAAGTCTCAGATTCATGATATAGTGTTGGTTGGTGGTTCGACGCGTATTCCTAAGGTGCAGAAGATGCTGCAGGACTTCTTTAACGGTAAGGAGTTGAACAAGTCTATAAATCCTGACGAGGCTGTTGCTTATGGTGCAGCTGTGCAGGCGGCTATTCTGAGTGGTGACAAGTCGGAGGCTGTTCAGGACCTGTTGTTGCTTGATGTGGCTCCATTGTCGCTGGGTCTTGAGACAGCTGGAGGTGTTATGACGGCGTTGATTAAGCGTAACACAACGATTCCTACGAAGCAGACTCAGACGTTCACGACGTATTCGGACAACCAGCCAGGCGTGCTCATCCAGGTGTATGAGGGAGAGCGTGCATTGACGAAGGATAACAATTTGTTGGGTAAATTCGAGCTGTCCGGTATTCCACCTGCTCCTCGTGGTGTTCCTCAGATCGAGGTGACGTTTGACATTGACGCGAACGGGATTTTGAATGTGTCAGCTGTGGACAAGAGTACTGGTAAACAGAACAAGATCACCATCACGAATGATAAGGGTCGTTTGTCTAAGGATGATATTGAGCGTATGGTCTCGGAGGCGGAGAAATTCAAGGCTGAGGATGAGAAGCAGAAGGACCGTGTTTCTGCGAAGAATTCACTGGAGAGTTATGTGTACGCGATGAAGCAGCGAGTGGAGGGTGACGAGTTGAAGGACAAGATATCGGAGAGTGACCGTAAGACGATATTGAGCAAGTGTGATGAGGCGATCCAGTGGTTGGACCACAACCAACAGGCGGAGAAGGATGAGTATGACTACCACCAGAAGGAGTTGGAGAAGGTTTGTGCTCCGATAATCACGAAGATGTACCAGGCAGCTGGAGGTGGTGGTATGCCGGGTGGCATGCCAGGAGGTTTCCCGGGTGCAGGTGCAGCTGGAGGTGGTGGTATGCCGGGCGGCAAGGGACCAACAATCGAGGAGGTCGACTAACTTCGTGATGCCAAACGGTTCTATTTTCTCACCTGATTTATTTGCATAGAGTGTTCATTTATTCGATTATTTATCTGTGAATAGATTTCATCATCCCCACTGTCACTTCTAATCTGTGTTTGGGTGTTCGGAGAATAAGCAGTGGTCGTTTCTTCTGTCGTTGTAGTAGTGGTCTCCGTATCGGTGTTAGTAGCAGTAGGCTGGGGGGCTATGTATTGCGGTGCGTAGCATAGTTCACTCTTGTATACGATTGGCGTTAGGTTCGAGAGAAGTGTTTGTAGGTGTATATTACGAGGTCGGATTTGCTTGTTATCTCGGTCGTATTGTTAGTGGGGATTAGTGTGCGGAGTGAGCGGCTTCTGACGGGGAAGGGATGTGGATTGTTTTACGTGCTGTGAACTAGAGAAGAATACATGCAAGTAAGTGGTGGTTGGTGAGTGCTTCCGCGGCAGTTGTTTATCGTGACCTTCATTAGTATGACTCGTGAGTTGTTCCGAGACTGCCAGTACATATGATGATGTGGTTCACTGCATACTGACCTGTAGTGTACGGTAGAAGCTGTGGAACGTGTGGTCTCGTGGGTGTGTGGCGTTTTGGCTTAAGCACTTGACTTCCAAGCGATGGATCCAGGATTGGAATAGGGATCCATTTGCCGTAGTCGTGGAAACCTGGTAGTATTGTGAGCCGTAACACTAGGTGTGGCTCACAGTCTAGTGCCTGAAAATGTAGCGGGCTAGTGAACCGCCTTCTTTATGCCTTACCTGTGTTGAATAAAATGCGAGCATTAGGTGCACAAGTGTAACAAAGTGGGCTTGTGACTCATTAACTGAGGCTCCTGACTCAGTCGTCGGGTGATGGTTGCGACCGTGCTCCACCACGTTGGTGTTTCCCAACCGAGCAGTGCCGCGGGCTGTCACATAGCTTACTACATGAGTGTATGCTAGGTTGTTGAGTAGCATTGTTACATTTAGCATGGAATGACTGACCGGACTAGCATTTCCAGAGTACAGATAAACTTAAGTAAATTGTCTGAATTTTTATTTCGAACACTTGCTGAGATGAATACAAGAGCGCTGTGCTGGTCAAACCTGTTGTTGTTGTTGTCCTGTATCACCTACTATGCAGTTAGGATGTCCACTTCGTAAATAGGAGTAAGGCTGACAGATCACATCGATGATATTGGCTTGAAGAGGAGAAATATGTCGAGTAGATGTGGTCTGTACTCAACTGTTTTAGAGCACTCCCATGTTTTTCATAAACCGGTAACAGGGGTCGTAGTTAAAAACGTTATCCCCCGATAGTGTCGTATCTCCCTCTTACCTAGAGCAAGATTGTGACACAGAGTGCAGAAATTTATGATGGACACTTGTCAACATTTCTCTTGTAGACTCTTTCTAGTCACCTCGAATGTGACGAAATGAAGTATGGTTACTCACGTGGTAGACCGTAGGATGACTAACCGCTGTGGTGCTAGGTGATACTGTTTCATGACTAGTGTTATCGGACTACCGTGTGAACTTGTGATTGAAAAGTGGGTTAACCTGGACAATGAAAGTCAAAGCACTTCTGAAGTAGTCTGCTGACACTGTCACTTCATTCTTTCATCCTTTTTCGATCAGAAAGACCCATGTATGAGTCTTGAATGCAAAGCCTTATCGAAGACCTCTATCCAAGCTGTAAGCATTATATCCACATGTCGTTAGCTATGACTTCAACCTTCTCTTGCAAGCAGGGGTTTTCTCAAACAACCGCGACCTAGCTTACCTAGGAGGAATCACTGGGCTTGAAACAGTGCTACGAATGATACTTTTCATTAATCTATTAACTGCAGCTTAATCTGTTGATGATATTGAGTGGGAGAATGTGCGTGTAAAATGAGACGTTTTCATACACTATCAAACCTAGTGTGTTATGACCACAATATCACACAGTGTACGAGCGTGTGGCACTTCTACCAAGAGAAGCCGCTTAGAGTAGTAGGTACGGGGCTCAAATCGTTTGGTGCGGTTATGCGTATTCATTAGATGAATTACCGTCCAGCCTTGTGCACTGTCAGCTAAAGTGTAATTGAGTTGGGAAAAGAATGAAGACGACCGAATTGGGTAATAGCATCAACCCATGAAGTCTGATCCATGTAGTGAATTGGAAGCTTAGCAACCTAGGGTCTGTAAAATATTCATAGTCGACAGTTACAGACTTTAGGCGGTATAGTATAGAATCTATTCCAGTGATGCAGACATATCCACGCCTTAACTTCATCTATATGACAATATCATGCATGCTTATCCCTCCAATTCATTTTGATTTTGCCTCCTAGTATCTTAGTCTGCTGGCAATTTCTTTCCGCATTTCTCTTTCGTCCATTGTATGCACTTCATCTCGATGCGATGATGTGAATTGTGGCAACCTAAACCAGTACGCCGTCACACTACGTTTCTGATATCAAAGTAAAGTGATTCGAAAGGTAGAGCTGTCGTAGCATTTTTCGGCAACTACCAAACAGAAAATGAGGATAATCCTATGGCAAAGTGTGATGTGGACAGGGTTTTTTCGAGCACTTGACCGTTAGTTTGTTTAATTTCACCTCTTGCAACCTACTGCCTACCAGTCCATTGGTTGAACTTTTCAACTGTCTGCTGACCCCATGAAAGTGGTACTGGTGAAAAGCTTGGTGTACAGCACTAGTATCCAACCTTATCGTGACAGTTCACTAGTCAGCTGGGATACCGATGGTGGTTAGACTTAATCTAAACTATCCTAACACAAAGCATGTCGTCAGTCGTTTACAAGGTTTAAAATACCTTTTCTACAACTGAATTGCGTAAAATAACATTTGCAATATGGGTGACTTGCGTAAGTATGCATTTGTAAGCATGTATCATTTCGCCATCCAGTAGTGAAATGGGTATCGACAGTTTAGCAACCAATAACTAGAAGTATTTGAATTTGGATAGACCTCAATTTATCAGCATGAACGTTTCTAACAAAAGACATTATGCTATTTTTAAGTCTCATCCAATGTGCTTTATCAATGCGTATACCGAAGCTTATCAATTTAACCAATGAATCCGATTGTAGATTTTTAGTGTCCAAAGTTAGGCGAATTCTAGTATTTCGTATAACCTTTACTAGACGATAGGAGCGATTTGGTGTTGTTTCCACAGACCTTCTGTTCGGAGTTCTTCTTGCCCAATCATAAGAATACTCGACATTCTCCCTGCATATTCCCCATCAAACAATCATCTGCCAACTACACTTGGAGAAACAGAATAGTCAATCTTATCAAAAATAATAAGAGCCAGTTGAAAAATAGGTATTTCGCGAACACTTGATTTAACGAGGAACAAAAGTATTTTATTTAAAAATTCTCAATCTTGGACGAGCATACGCGCGTAACACCTGAGTTGAACCAGTTACATGACAGAGTGAGCCAGTGCACGGAAATGCAGACAGCGACAAAAATTAGAAAAACGGTAAAGAGTAGTAGTAATAGTAGTATTACTAATAACAGTGTTTTCATTTTATGTGGCTGATACGTACAACTCTCTTGTTTTTTTTAACTTCCGTATGTTGACACCGGATCCGAACTGCATGCCTTTCGTCTTTTTGGCAAGAAGGATTTTTTGTATGCGTACCTGTTAGAATTTTACCTCGAAGTTATTGCTAGATAGACCAATAATAAATGATTGGTCTTTACTAAATCTTGAAGAGATTCACTGTTTAGTTGACTGGATAAAAATGTGACGCTGACTGTAGGCTTCTCTGTTTGCCGAAATGCGTAGTGTGCTTTCAAGCATGATACTTGAACTACTTGTCAGTTGTCAGTGGTTTTAGAATCTAGGCCGAGAAATAGTGGCCGTCGTGTGGACCTCATTTCCTACTATGTCTCCTCCCTTCATCATCATCATCATTATCAACATAGGACCAGGCATTACTGCGTAACGGTCCGAGTTGCCACGCCTCATATCAGCACATCAAGTAAAAAGGTAGTGAGGTGAAGGATGAAGATAAGTGAATGCAGTCAAAAGAAATATAAAGTACGAGAAGAAAGGAAAGAGGAGTGACAAAATAGTGAGATTCGGTATAGCGTTGTTAAGATGAGGATAATGTGTGTATACATCTGCGCCACTGACTTCGGTTCTGAGCCATATCACCTAGGGTCTCCAACCACTGGTTCCTCTTGTCCCGTGGACCCCAACCACCTAGTCTGCATCGTCCTACATGGCTTAAACCAACAGTCAGAGACTTCATACATTGGTGCCATGTTTTAGTCTGGCCACCTCGGGCCTTTTTCCAGCCTGGACCCACCTCAGCCAACATTGTGTGACGAGGCAATCGGTGACTAGGCATACGTAGTACGTGTCCCAACCATCTCAGTCGATGAAGGTTCACAACCTCGTCGACTGACATACCTCTTCTCCCCAAAACTCTACACCTAACTTCTGCATTACTCATGTGGTGACACCACGGAATACGTCCTATACTACGAAGGCAACGGTGATCAAACACCTGAAGCCTTTTTGTATCCTCCACTTTCAATGGTCTCCTCCCTTGCCCACTGCCAACCTATTTATCTCAGGGAATCGAGGTACTGCCTAATAAATCACTCGCAGATCGCAGAACGTGAGCCGGTTGAGGCATGAAATAGCTAGTCTTCATCTAGCAAGACAACATCATCTGCAGATTCCAAGTCAACCAGATGACCTCCAGGGCCTACACCAATCCCTATGAAGTCAAATGTACCTAGTTTCATTATGTCCATAAGTATGTCTATAACGAAGTTAAATAGGAAGTGTAACAGTGGGCACCCACCAGTGGACACCACTAGTTGTCATCGATTCACACCACAACTCTGCATAATCCCTCACACGACTGAGTCAGTTCGAGTAGAGAGGATTGATTAGTGTTGTATATTTGCTGGGTACTCCCTTCAAATTCAGAGACCTCACGGTCGACAGATCGAATGCCGCCATCTGGTCAAGAAATATGGACAGGTATGCCTGCGCTCCAGGACCTGTCGGAGGGTGAAGATATGATCGACGCGCCCTCATCCAGCTCTGTCTGAAACCTGGTTGGTTATCTCGAGTTGTAGTTAGCAGTAAGATAACTGTGAATGCCAGAATATTGTACACAGTATCGGTCCAACTAATTCGCACATGCTTCCCACAAGAAGACTTCTCTTTTTCCTTATAGACTGGGATGATCAGAGAAGTAGGCCAGTCTGACAGGACTACCTCTGATTCCGAAATCTTTAAAGACTACGTTGGAGGTAATGTGGTTTTGTGTGTGTTTACTTATTGCTGCTCAGATGCAAACTG